AAAAGAAGAGACGTTATTAAACAAGCCAAAATTGCCGTAATCAAGGATGGCTAAAAACTTATCATAACCCACTGTAGTTGCTCCGTTTATTTATTAAACAGTGTATTAATATTTTCGGCTACCAGCTTAAATATTCGAGAAATCTTATTAAATATCCGACATGTCTTAACCGACTCGGCCACGAGTAAGTATTGCCAAACACGAAGTGTCTAAACAGTGCCTTTAAGTGAAATCTTCCTCGAAATTATATCTTCTAAGTTTCGTATCCAAGTGTAAACTAAATAATTTTCTAAAGGCTTTGTTTGATCGGCAAAGCTTCTTCGTGGCCTAGTCGGTTAAGTCACGTTGGGTGTAACGTAGGTTTCATTCTGCCCAGGGGGGACGCAGGTTCTAATCCTGCTTGAGAGCGCATATTGAAAGCCAATAAAGGTAAAAATGTGCACACACAACTATTTGAACTAAATTTCAGTTGTTATCGTAAATATTATCGGCTAGAATGGTGAAACCAGCAAACCGAGTTCAATTCTGCTGCCCTCATTTCTGAATTAGCGCCCTTAAGAAAGGCAAGAAGCCATCCCTTAAGCTATAGGTGAAATAGTAGATAGCCTTCGGTGGCAGTCAGTTTAGGAGAAGAACGACAACTCTGAATTCAAAACACAAGACAACATGAACAAATTATCTTTCTCAAGGAGCCAGGCAATTCACAGACGATAGACATAAGGAAACTAGAGAGCCATGATCATCTATGTTCTGAAGGAACGTGACATTCTAGAATAATTACATAATAGGGAATCCAGGTAATCTTAGACCGCTCATTGCACAACATCCTGCGAAATAATTCCGTCCCGTTTTTCTTTTTTAAAATTTTGCAGATTTCCCCAGTCACGAAGGAAATCGATATTTTTGAAACCATATGAAAAAAATGAAACAAAACCAATAGACAAAATAATAATAATGAATAAAAATTAATTAATTCATTTTCCCATGATGCAAACCGAAAAGGGTTTCTAGTCACATGCACAATTTTATGTCCCCACTTCCGGAAAGTACAGAATCTTTATTATTCTCCTCTTGGCTTCAAGACCACGCAGTAATAGCGTTCCTATTGGGGAATGTTAATTTTTCCCGGTCCACTGGTGACTGAACTTTTTCTACTTATCAAGATCATCGGGCGTGTTTAAACAGCCATCCTATGGATTAAAGATTTGCTTATCTCAGCTCAGCGCGAGGCTAACTTGTACTCAATCATCTTTATCTGTTCTTATCCTTAATTCCCATACATTATTTCTGAACCAAAAAGAAAAACAGACATACTTGCTAACTCAATACAAGGCTAACTTGAGCTCGACCATGTTTACTAGTTCCTAGATTTACTTACCATAAATAATTTCTGAACCAAAAAAGAAAACATACATACTCAAGAGACGGTTAACTTTGTTTCAATACGGCCAATAGAAAAGAAATAAGCATCCGTAGCAGAAATTCAAGTTATTTAGTATGCTTCTTCATTTTTCTTTGTATATTGAACATGCACCTTCACCTAAAAAATACAAACAGAACCCTCAACCTTGTTAATATCCACAACCATTTGGATAACATTTCAGTAAGATCCAGGCTCATCTTTGCTCATTAAAGATTTGCAGAATAATTCCGTTTATCTGCCTAGAGAAAATTCGATCGGTGCGACTGAATTTTGAAGTTCATTAATTTGTATAAGCTACAATTATTGGTTGTACCCGAAAAGAAGTTTCTCGCACGACTATCTACAAAAATAATACATATCCATTAAAGAAAAAAAATAGACGTTTAAAAATAGAATCCCTACTCTCTGGCTTCCAGCTGACGGATGGCTTTATCTAACATTACGTTAGCTGAAAAAAAAATGGCACGATCTTCTCTTTAATTAAGTGCTTCAGAATTCCTTGTCTTGTGTCTGCTTAATGTAACAAAATAATAGAAATTATAATTATGTGTTAGCACAACCACTACACCTAGCCGATACCTCATAAATAATGTACTATTCCAATTTGATTGTGTGGAAAGTCATACCAGTGACGTTAATTGGTTTCAATGAAAAATAAAAGGAAGATAAAATATTTAACGTCTGTTTCAGTGAAATGGAAAAAATTGTCAAATTTCTTTCATTTGTACCCACTTACTTCTTTAAATTACGACCAGAATTCATATTTATGATTGTTATTGCAATATTTTACTAAAGTTTTGCAGCTCACATATTTAACGAAACGATAGGGGAATTTCTACGGATTTTATTGTTGTAGAACTCAACCTGAGCTTATTCAATCATTAACGTAAGAATTGTGATTTATAAGAATATTCAAATAGGAAAAAAAAGTTTCACGCGTAGTTCTAGTAGAAATTATTGAATGCGATTTATTGTAATGTTTTAATTCATCATCTCTCGTCACATAATTCACCAGAATGTTTATGGTTGAAGTGAAAAAAAAAAAAAGAAATGAAAAAAAATACGCACCTTGATGCGACCAATAAAGGATTTAAAAAGCTTTAATATTTTATCATTTGTTTAGATGTTAGGAAGTGCGTAGAGCCGAGAAGTTATTCGCACCCTTCATGTAATTGTTGGATACTTCATATCGATTGAGTAGCATCTCTATAAATGTTATTATTATTCGCATCAATTGATGCAATATTTAAACAACGTATTAGCATAAAGATACAACCAGAATAAATAAACCTGAATCATTAAAACTGAGACATGATATCGAGCCTCCTTGGTCCACCATATGCTTATGATTTTGAGCTCAAACTAAGCTCGGCTTTGTGAACTGATTAGGACTTGAATTCACCACTAAACTAGTGTTGAAGAAAACCCCAAAAGATAAGCAAAGCCGTTCCAAGATAAACGTTTATTAATCACATAAATTAATTTGAACAAACACACAAACATGATATATATATATGAGAGTAAAATTGTTCAAATCCTGTAGCAGCAAAATTACACAATTGTTAGATTAAGCACTGAACCATTTTATCTTAGAGATGATTAAAGATATCTGACTGAAATTCCACGAGGATTTTATATCACTATTGAACTCTAATTTAAGCAATAATAATGTATAATTAGACTAAAAACTTGACAGAATAATCTTGATGAAATCGAGCATAAACGAAAATGACATGTTCATCATTAATTAATCATGGCTAAAGGTCGGAAGCTCATGAAGTTTTGAAATATATAATATATATATATATATATATATATATATATATATATATTCTAACTTTCTGTCCTGGCATAATAAGGTGCGTACGATTTCATTTTTCAAATCTTTTTTCACTGTTCTTTGGACTGTTATAGATGAAAAAACTTCTCTCACGTACCAAACGTCTTATGGATTGAGTTAGATCTTTTCTAACTGATCTCTTTAGATTTAACATGAAATGATGATCCCTCTTCTTCTTGATCCAGTTTTCCTCTTTACCTTACACGCAAGACGTTAATGCCCCCCCCCCACTGGCGGACCGCCTGTGGTAACGACAGCTGTCCTCTAGTGGCAGCCACCGACAGTGCACCAGCGGGCCAATGGTGGGCCACTAGCGGTCCGCAAATGATAACCTTGCGGACACGAACACGCCGGCGGTCTGACAGCGCGTCACCAGTGGCAAATGCTAGGAGTATGCCACCCAGTGACAGATTGGTGGCTTGTGTGTAAGGTACTGTTCGTTTTTAAAGCTTATTCCCCGTTTTCTTGATGGTTCTTAAAAGCACTATGTTGGTACCATTATTGGAGGTCTTAATGATCTTTTTTTCTCACTATTGCCAAGTTGGGAAGACAGTGGGTCTGGCACAAAGCGATTTTAACATGTTCTTTATTTTTAAATAAATAGCTCTAAGGGTTTTTTCAGTGATTCTTATGAAAAATGATGTCT